CCTCAACAGGGTAGGAACTGAACGGAAATTCCTCAACATAATCAAGAGCATATATACAAAACCAACAGCCTACATCACTCTCAATGGAGAGAAACTGAGCCTTCCCTCTGCGAATGGGAATCAGACAAGGATGCTGTTTGTCACCACCCCTACTGACTATTGTTTTGGAAGTTTTAGCCAGAACTATACAGAATGATAGAGAAATTAAAGGCATCCAAATTGGCAAAGAGGAAAAATTTGCAAACAATCTGATCCTATACATAGAAAACCCCAAAGACTCAATAAAAAATTACTAGACCTCACTGGAAGATTCAGCAAAGTGGGAGGGTATAAGATCAATATACAAAAATCAGTTGGATTTCTCTACAGTAACGACACATAGACATTTTGTAGCAAAACGAGGGGAGTGGTTGACTTTGCAGTCCAGGAGCAGAGGTCCCTGGCACTATCAAGGGAGAAGAGCAGAATATGGGACCCTACCCAGAGAAGTAGTGATGTCAGTTATGGAGGCAGAGATGATGATGTGGAGAGAGGGAACAACTGGGTACTCTAGACCCAGAGAGGGAGAGAGGCTGTGTGCTGACGACCGGTGGTGGTGGTTGGGGTAGGGGGGGCCAGATTTGCAGGGTATACCCTTTGGTTGGTTGATGATGCATGGAGGGGACTGAAACCATGGCAATAAAAGAATATATGATAGGATGAATGTAAAGCTAATGTTCTCCTAAGTAAACTATCACATAATTCACAATAAAACTTTTTTTTAAATGTCAGTTAATGTAGACAAGTGAATTTGGTAATTTCCTGTTATGTGTATTATGCAATTTCGGTAATGCTCTAAAATCATATGTATAAGGTAGTATGTATCTATCAGTAATATGTATATGGTATGTTTGCTCCTAAAATGCTTTTAAACCATAGAGGTGTAAGTCACTTACAAATAACTAAAAAGCAGAAAATTTCTCAGTTCAAAATAGAAAAATAAGAGAATGTGAAGCAAGGTAAAAAACCTAAGCTGACTTGGCACTGAAATGATGTGATATAAGAAAATATAAACAAAAACAATCCCCTAATACAGGGTCGCTATGGGTCAGAGAGATTTACACCCTCGGAAACCCTGTACAGGGTCGCTATGGGTCGGACCCGACTCGATGGCACTTAACAACAACAACAACAACAAATGGGTCGGAAGTGCTTCGACGGCTGACTTGGAGAGAAGTTATACTACACACTTCTCTTCGTTAAACATGCTGAAGGATGATTTGCTAAATGGCCTGCCATCCTGACTGCCAAAGTAAAGACACAATATCTGAGGAGGAGGCTGGGAAGTGGGTCTCTCCGTCTCTTCTCGTATCGGTGAAACCTTCCCCCGGTCTGGGCATACAGCATCTCTTACATATCTCGGGCACCATACAACACCTGGTCAACCTGATTTCTATATTTCTTCCCAGTGGGGAAGGAATAGTCTTTTGACTATAGCTTGAGAGGGCATAACTATCCACCCTGTAACTCCACATGTGGGATAACCCTGCTGGTCATGGAGACCATTGTTCACTCTCTCTGTCTCTTGTTTTTAATGCATAAAATGTTAAGACACGCATGGATTGAGCCCATGTGTCTGGTCTTTTGTTGACAATCTGCAACCCTGGTTCAACAAAATATCATCTAGTCCTTATTATGTGAGGTCAAGTTTTAAAAATCACATATAAGCCCTAGATTATTGACTCATTGACTCTCCAGTGGCAGACTCTGGATTGAGATTCTGTCCACCTCTGGCAGCCAAGGATCCTAGTTACGAGGGTCCTCTAACAAGGACAAGCCACTGGCTGATTGTTCCTCCCAACCGTCTTGTTAAAGGCAATGCCTAAATCTAAAGATTTGGACTCTTATCACTGGACAAACATTGTCGTGGTTAGCACTGATTCTCCGGTCTTCATTGAATGTCTTGATATTTCCTGTGTGCCTTACCATGACTATCTTGAAGTAAATGAAATGAGTTTATGCTTCCCCCAAACAAAAATATTTTCACAAACTAAGAATTCTAAGTATCTTCCTACTTTGAGGGCGCAAAAGAAAACTAGATGCTTTGTGCTTAGCACATAGGCAGACCCATCTCTTACATAAGGAGCTCTGGTAGCGTACTGGTTACAAATCGGACTGCTAATCTAAAGGTCAGCAGTTCAAAACTACCCGCAGTTCCGTGGGACAAAGTTGAGGCTTTCTGCCCCCATAAAGATTTATAGCCTCGCAAGAACTATACAGGGTCACTATGAGTCAGAGCCAAGAGCACTGCTAATTATTAAGCCTTTCTCTTGATAGTGTCCCCATACCGGCCCTTGAGAATCCCAGAAAACTGCAGGCATCAATTTTCCAGCTGATGGTTGACTTCTGAACTTTTTCTTGGTCAGTGATAAAGCATGTTTTCATTCCACACTCTGTTGTTTACTCTCAGGCTTGAATCAATGTCTTGTCACCAGTAATGAATTTTTTGAAATAAACTTTTACCTTCCTTCGAGTATCGGCCCAAATTTCATTAGCATATGTCCAAACATTTCTATTTATGCACTTCCATGAGTTGCTTCGGTACCCAATTCACACAAACTTTTCAAAACCCGAATCTGTCATGTATTATTTCGTAGGCAGAGCCATGGGTGATTTGCAAATGATTTTACACAGAATCCACTGTCACTGGTCCATTTGACAATCATTTCACATGCATGCTCAATGTTGTCATCAGCCATAGACGTGGATGGGTATTTTAATATAACCACAGTGCGGATCATTTTTGATACACCCTCATGTATGCATGTGTGTGTATACTCAAACTCTTCCTCCTAGGCAACCTACATTCTTGCATCTAGTTGTTGTTGTTGGTAGGTGCCATTGAATTGAAACTGACTCATAGTGACCCTATGAACAACAGAACGAAACACTGCCTGATCCTGGGCCAACTTCACAATTGTTGCCACGCTTGAGTCCATCGATGCTGCCACTTGGCCAATCCATCTCACTGGGTGTCTTCCTCTCTTTCTCTGACCCTCCACCTTACCAAACATGATATCTTTCTCCAGCGACTGGTCCCTCCTGACAGTATGTCCAAAGTGTGAATGACGAAGTTTGGCCATATTGGCCTCCAAGGAGCACTCTGGTTGCACTTCTTCCAACACCGATCTGGTGGTTCTTTTGGCAGCCCATGAAATTTTCAATATTCTCCTCCACTTATTTCTGGATTGTGTATATACTAGTATTTGCCTCTGTTGCAATATTTAAGCTTGCAATCCTAGCTGTGTCTTTCCCTTCCTCCATCATGTTGCTGGTCTCCTTCTTATGGTTTATTGCCTTCTCCTTCACCCAACTTAATACGTGTCTGCTTATTGTTGTTGCTAAGTGCCATTCCAACTCATAGCAACTCTGTATAGGGTTTCTGACGACCAGCTAGTTGAGTTTGAACCACCAACCTTATGGTTCAAACCTACCTGCGGTCCAGTACTTATCTTACTGTGCCACAGCAGAACTCTTTTTTTTGATGTTTTATTGTGAATTATGTGATAGTTTACATGGGAGAACATTAGTTTTACATTCATTCTATCGTATACTGTCTCATTGCCATGGTTACAATCCCCTCCATGCAATCCTTCCCCCGTGCCCCCAGGTCTTCAGCACACAGTCGCTCTCCCTCTCTGGATCTAAAGTCTCCAGCAGCTCCATCGCTCCATGTCATCATCTCTGGCTCCATTTCAGGCATCACTGCTTCTCTGGGTAGGATCCCGCTCTCTGCTCTTCTCCCTTGATGGTCCTAGGGACCTCTGCTCCTAGACTGAAAAGTTAATCACTCCCCTCCTTGCTATAAAACGTCCACCTTTACATTTCCAACCCTCACAGTCAGTCCTGATAACAACTATTCACTATTGTATCACAAGAGACCCATCTGCTTCATTGCTCACAGCAGGACTCTTAATGATTTATCTGCCATTCTCCTCCCACACCTGGTAACCATTAAAGAGTGTTCCTTTGGGTGTGAAAACCTTTACTTGACTTTTTACAATAGTGGTCTCATACAATTTTTATTTCTTTGTGATGTACACATTTCACTCATCAAATGTTCCCAAATGCATCCATGTTATGAGGTATTTTGCAAATTCATCTTGATTCTTGAACATTTCTTAGTATTCCACCTTGTGTGTGTACCATAGTTTATCCATTCTTCCACTGATGGGCATTCTGGCTGTTTCTATCTTTTTGCGACTGTGAATAGTGTTGTGACGAACATGGCCGTGCATGTATCTACTCCTACTCAGGCTATCATCTCTCTAGGGAATATGCCAGCCAGTTGGAACCCTGGGACATATGCTATTTCTATTTCCAACTTGTAAAGGAAGACCCATACTGTTGACCACAGTGATTAAAACATTTACTATCTCCCCAGGAGTGTATGAGGATTCCAGGTGCTCTCTCACCAGCATTCGATGTTTTCTATTTGTTTTTGTTTTGAACTTTGTTATTAATGCTGGGGTAAGATGATATTTCATTGTTGTTTTGATTTGAGAGCATTCTTTAATAAGTTTGTTGGCTGCATGAATGTCTTGGTGAAGTGAATGTTCGAATCCTCTGCCCATTTTAAAATTTGATTATTTGTCAATTGGTTGTTGAGGTGTTCAAAGTTTTCCATAAATTTTAGAGATTACTTCCTTGTCTGACATATGTCTCAGACCGTGGGTTCTCTTATCACTCTTTCAGTGTCTAATTCTAGATAATGACCGACTCATCTAGTTTGTCTTCTGCTGTTTGTGTGCTTTCAAGTACGTTTGCGACTCTGTTCATACCACATTTCAGGGCCCCTACGTTTGTCCCTGGAGTCCTGGTGTTGCGCTGTGGGCTGATGCGTCAGACTGCAAAGCCGTTTGAACTGCAAGGTTGTCAGTTCAAGCTCACCAACTGCTCCTTGGAAACCCTATACAGGGTTAAAGATAGGGTCGGGTTTTCCAGTTTGCGGAGTTTTGCTTTCATGCGCTGCTCCCTTGTTTCTCTTTTCCCATGCTTTGTGAACACATTTGGTGTCCATGATACAGACCCATTATAGTGGTGTCTGAGGTATTCCACGCATGTACAGTTCTGTTAGGATCCTGGTTCGAGTACCAGGTCTGCCCTGCTGGCATCAGGTTAGGGTCATGGGCGATATTTTGCACTTGCATTGAAAGCTGGTTGTTGTTGTTAATTGCCTTAGAGTCAATTCCGACCCATAGCAACCCTGTGTAGGGTTTCCAAGAGGCAGCTGGTGAGCTTGAACCACCAACCTTGCCGTTCAAACGACTTTGCAGTCTGACGCATTAGCCCACAGCACCACACCAGGACTCCTGGTTAAGGGAGGGTTAATAGGTAACTAGCTGATGGTTATCAACCCCACTGTGTAGCTGAATAGGGAAGGAGGGCTCACAAACTCCACTGGGTTTTATCTTGTGTAGATCCTATCTCTTGTCCACATCCTGCCCCTCTGTTCTTTGTTTTTGGAGTTTTTTTGAATGGTCCTATTGATCTTTTCTTGCTGTTGCCACTGCTGATTTTTTTCCCCTTAATGACTCCTCCTGTCCTCTTACCCTAACAGTGCCATGCTGATCTCCACAGTGGAGGCACCATTTTACAGTCCAACCAGCAGTATATAAGGGTTCCAGTCTCTCCACACCCTTGCTACATCTGTTGTTTTCTGTTTTGTTTTGTCTTTCACTTTGTTAATGCTGAGGTGAGATGATAGCTCATTGCTGTTTTGATTCGCATCTGTGAGACCTGGTGTGGCACTCTGGGTTAATGCACCAGACTGCAAAGCCCTTTGGACTGCAAGGTCGGTGGTTCAAGCTCACCAGCTGCTCCTCAGAAACCCTATACAGGGTTGCTATGGGTCGGAACCAACTCAATGGCACTTAACAACAATGACTAATAATCTCAAGCATCTTTTTCTTGACTTTTATTTGAATTAAGTGAAGGTTTACTTAACAATCTCAAAGGCTCTATATCCAACAAACCATATGTTTTGTTTCATTTCAGTGAAAGCAACCCCTCTGTGTAATCATGGCCACACTTCTTCCATGTGATTCCTATTTCCAGTCCATCCACTCACCTTCCCATTCCTCCTCAGCTTTGTCCTCCAGTAAATGTTGCCCTTTTGATTTTGAATGATTGACCATTCCATGGTGAGCATATCTTACAGGTATTATTGTCCCCACTATCTACGTATCTACTACTTGGCTGAAAACTGGGCCATGAGGGTAAGTTCCTTTCCAGACCTGAAGGGCAGTTGAGGGCCATGGTCTCGGGTTCTTCTGGTCTCTTTCTGACCAACAAGCCCAGTCTTTTTTTTTTTTTTTTAATTTTGAGTTTTGTTCTACATTTTCTGCCATTGTGTCTAGGCCTTCGATGTGATCCCTTTCAAAGAAGTTGGTCGTGGAAGCCAGGCAACATCTAGTTCTAGGGTTAGGCTTCAGTGTCAAGGAGACTGATGTTCACAGGACTAGCTGATTCTAAGAATCTTCAATACTCATCACTCTTTTTCCTTCCATATATGGACAGAGATAATTGTACCTTAGATGGCCACTAAGGAGTTTTTAAGATCCCAGACGTTACTCACCGAAGTAGATGTAGAACTGTGTGTTCAAGCATTTCTTCATTTGTTTGTTGGCCACCTGAATTTCTTCTTTGGTGAAGTGTCTGTTCGTGTCCTCTGCCCGTTTTTAAACTGGATTATTTGTCTTTTTCTTATTGTGTTCAGGATGAACTCTTGTTTACTGTCTGGTCAGTACTTCTTCCTCCTTCCCCTTCCTTTTCCTAGTAATCATCCAAGAATGTTTCTCTCTGCATTTAAACCTTTTTATAAGAGTGCTCTCAGACAGTATTTGTCCTGTTGTGATTGACTTCTTTCACTCAGCATAATGCCCCACTGACTCACCTATGTTTTCACATGTTTCATAGATTCAGTGTTCTGCATCATTACATGGTATCATTCATTGATGGAACACTTAAGTTGTTTCTATCTTTTGGTTGTGACTAATGCTCTGATGGATATGGCCGTGCATACACCTATCAGTGCCACAGGCTTTCTCTAGGATCCTTTCTGTGGGGATTTAAATATTGATACATCCCATTGTGATTCTGAAATCTAGGGGAGAATGGTGATAGAGCTAACATACAGACCGTAGCAACCCAAAGAGACTACTAACTTGCAATAAATGTTCCAATCACAATTTTTTTTAAGTATATTTTTAAACTAACCAAAGGCAGAGATAACTAGATTGGCTCATCCCATGTATAATTAAGCTAATGAGAGGATTAATTGAGCTACTTCCCTGAATATGAAACACAGATTCTTGTCAATCTTCTCTAGAGATTATAATGAACATTTACTCTTTAATATAACAGTCACATTAAAATTTTCACTCTATGAGTTATTGAACATTTGGTGAACCAGATTAATACACCAGAAAAAAAAAAGAAAAATTAACACCCTCCAGAAAGACAAAGACTGTCACACAATTTAGGTGGAATTCAATCAATCTGCAGACTGATTGAATGAACTTGTTGATCCTGTTGACATTAAGTCCATCTGTGACAGAGTAATAGTAATCTTATTCTCCAAGTGAGCATTCAGCATATCTTGAAGGTCAGAAAGAAAGCCTCTTTCAGTATTGCTGTGCTTACAAAGGATGACATGTATTCCTTGGGACGCAGCATCCAGAACATCATGATAGGACATCTCACCTGTGAGGTAAAGGTCGGCTTCCACTCTGCAGAGCACTGCTCCCAGAACCAGCACACAGGGCCACAGCTCTGATTTGGGACTCTAAGGTACTCTCTACCCCAAGACAAGGCGGACATGAAACAGTTTGAGGTGTTGCTTGATTCTCTCAATCATGGTTGCCTAGGAGACAGACTCATCCCATGTACATATCCGTCCCATCCCAGTGTGCAGAAGAAGCAGAGACTTTTCTAGTGATAGAATTTCAGTCTTCTGATAAAGGTGTCTGTTTGGAGACAGAAAAGCCCCCACTGCCTGCAGCACGGCCTCCTGAGTACAATTCAGACAGATCCGTATGTGCTCTTCATCATCAGTCCTGAGAGGAAAGGAAGTGCAATCCTGTTCACTGTGGACATGACCTTATCCAAGTCTAGGATGTGGTTACTACTGAATTCTACTCGATGCGTCCCCTCTGTGGGGTAGTTGGCAACTTTGGAAAGATGTAAGGGGCAGAAGGTACCAAGCTCCAAGTTTTTAACCAACCAGCTGTTGACTGACTCCCTGTGGGGGGTTGGGGGGGTGGGCAGCATCACAGGCTGCATGAGGAGAGGAGAGTAGATACCAACTCTGTTTTCCAGACTTTGGATCACCAGGTGCTCCTTCCAGGTTTTTCAAGTTAGTCACTTCACTGGCTGGAAGATAGGTAGGAGAGAATGAGATCCACCCTCTTCACAACACCTCCTCCATCACTTCGTCTGTCAAGTCATTGGCAGGAAGAGTGTGTTTTACAATATGCAGTGGGCGTGGCTCTACCAGTAATCCAGCACTGTCCCAACTCTCAGCAAATGAGAGGGATGCAAAGTTATTCAAGGAGGAAAGGAGAGTTTTCAACTCCAAAAAGGAAAGGGAAGAAGCGCAGATCAGGGAATGGATGATGATCTGGATGGACCTTTCTGGGGAGCAGACATATACCAGATGATAACATACAGAAATCAGGTAAAGATGAGTGTCGGCCCTGGAAATTCCCCCTCATAGCGAATTCATTTTTGTATACGATGTGAGATACAGGTTTTGTTTCATCTTTTCTGTAAACGGACATTCAATTTTGCAAGCACCATTTGTTAAGAGGCATCTGTTCCCCATTTAAAATATTTTGAGCTTTTGTCAAAGATCAGCTGTCCATAAGTAAATGGATTTAGTTACAGGTTTCCAGTTCTGTTCCATTGATCTGAATTATTATTGTACCAGTTTTGAATAACATGGCTAGGTTACCAGGCTATTATGATTACTATGTAGGCAGGCTTTGAGAGCAGAAGTGTGAGGACTCCTACTTCGTTCATTAGTTATTGTTGTTGTTAAGTGCTGTTGAATCAGTTCTGACTCACAGAGACCCTGTATAGGGTTTCCAGGGAGCACCTGATGGGTGCTGTGGAAGATCAGATCTGTCGAAGTCCAGTGCTGATCCTACAGCTCCACACCAGGAGTAGTGTTTTGCATATCCAGGGTCTCTTTCTTTCCATATACAGTTAGTTAGTGATTCATTTTTCTCTGTCTCTAAAGAACAATGTTGGAATCTAGATCAGGGTTGCATTGTATCTGTAGATCATTTGTGAGAATATTGACAGGCTATGGCATCCTATCCATGAGCATGGTATATTTTTCCATTTATGTAGGTCTCTTTTCTTATGTTAGTGTTCTGCGTTTTCTTTGTACAAAAGTTTGTTTCTGCAGTTAGATTTACTCTTAAGTATTTCATCTTTGGTGTGGTTACTTTAAATGATAATGTTTACATGATTTCATTATCCAAGATCTATTTATTAATATCAAAGAATCCAACTGATTGTTGTACATTGAACATTTGCTGTTGTGGTTGTTAGGTGCCATCGAATCAGTACCAACTCATAGCGACCTTATGCACAGCAGAATGAAACACTGCCCAATCCTGGGCCAACCTCACTACTGTTGGCACCCTTGAGTCCATCAATGGTGCCACTTGGCTAATCCATCTTGCTGGGGTCTTCCTCTTTTTCTCTGACCCTCCACCTTACCAAACATGTACCCTGCTAATTTCTTGAATCTCTCAATTAGATTCAGTTATTTTTTTAGTGTCATTGGGAGTTTCTATATAAGGTATCACATCATCTGCAAATAGGGATAATTTTATTCTTCTTTACCAGCTTGCATGTCTTTACTTTTCATTCATTGCATTATACCTCTGGCTAGGACTTCCAGCACAATATTGAATAGGAATGGTGTTATAGGGCTTCTTTATCTGGTTCCAGTTCACAAGAGAAATGCTTTTAATCTCTCTCCATTGAGACTAAAGCTGACCATTGGTTTCATATATATATATATATATACCCTTAATTATGCTGAGGAATTTCCTTTCCATTCCTGTCTCCTTGAGCATTCCTAAGATGAGAAGGTGTTCAATTTTGTCAAATGTCCTTTCTGTGTCAATTGATATAATCACGTGATTCTTTTTCTTGATTTATGTGGTGAATTACATTTTTTTTTTTAAACGTTGAATTATCCTTGCATTCCTAGTAAAATCCTACTTGATCATGATGCATTATTATTTTTTCACATGTTGCTAGATTCTATTGACAGAATTCTGGAAATTTTTATGTCTATGTTCATGAAAGGCGTTGGCCTATAATTTTATTTTTTTTAGTGATGTCTTTCCCTGGCTTGGATACTAGGGTTATTCTTGCTTCATGACATGAATTCAAGAGTATCCCATCCTTTTCTATACTCTGGAATCATTTGAGTAGAATCAGTGTCGACTCTACTTTAAATGCTTGGTAAAATACAGTGAAGCTGTCTGGACCAGGACCTTTTTATTTCTTCAGAGTTTTTTTAAATGACTTTATTGCCAGTCACTAGTCAGTCTGCCCTACTGTGGTGGCTTGCATGCTGCTGTGATGCTGGAAGCTATGCCACAGATATTTTAAATACCAGCAGGGTCATCCACAGTGGATAGGTTTCAGCAGAGCTTCAACGCGAAGACATACTAAGAAGGAGGAAAGGCAGACTACTTCTGAATGTATAGACACTAAAAACATGAATAGCAGTGGACCCTGGTCAGATATAATACAGAGTTTCAACACTAAGCAGAGTTTCAACGCTAAGACATACTAAGAAAGAGGAAAGTTTCAACGCTAAGCCATACTAGAGTTTCAACGCTAGTTTCAATGCTAAGATATACTAAGAAAGTTTCAACAGCGCTTCAACGCTAAGACATACTAAGAAGGAGGAAAGGCAGACTACTTCTGAATGTATAGCCATTAAAAACATGAATAGCAGTGGACCATGGTCAGATATAATACCAGATGATGAAACTATGGTGAACAGTATCAGAATATTGCCAGATATAGTGCCAGATGATGAAACCCTCAGGTGAGAAGGCACTCAAAGTGCTGCCTTCTCAAAGTAGAGTTGACTGTGATGACACAAATGGGGTAAAGCTTACAGGGCCTTCATTTGCTGATGGGGCATAACTCAAAACGAGGAGAAACACCGGTAACTATCTATTAATAATCAAAACATGGAATGTACAATTTATTAGTCTAGGAAAATTGGAAGTTGTCAAAGATGAAATAGAATGCAAAAAGGAGGACATACTAGAAGGCACCAGTGAGCTGAAATGCACTGGTATGGGCCATTTGGAATCTGATAACCATATGGTTTATGATGTGGTGGTGGTGGTCAGTTCTGACTCATAGTGACCCTGCACAGAGTTTTTCTGAGGCTGTAAATCTTGACAGGAGCAGAAAGCCTCATCTTTCTCCCATGGAACAGCTGGTAGTTTCGAACTTCTGACTTTGAGGTTAGTAGCCCGATTCATAACCATTATGCTACCAGAGCTCCTGTATCATTTACTATGTAGGAATGACAAATTCAAGAGGCATGGCGTACCATTTGTCAGGCACATGAGGTGATGGAAAATACCATGGTTTGGATCAGGCACACCTTAGTCCTCCAAGTCACAATGTTTCACTTAAACACTTTAAACAGGTCTCTTTCAGGACAAAACTATTGGGGCAAAGCACTCAGCGTGGGGTGGCAGGCACTGACAGGTGGTGGTGGGGACACTGGTCACAGTTTGGGTCACAGCCTCTGATCTACAAGGAATTTGCTTCCCCTCTGAGGGTGGCCGAGGTTAGAGCACCTGTGGAGTACTGTGCATTCTGCCGGTTCTACAAGGCGAAGAGGCACACTTGCTGACCGGTCCCTGCGGGTACCACTTGGTGCTGTGGGTGTGCAGGGTGGGGGCATCACAGGCAACTAGTGGGTAAACGTGGGGGCTGAAGAAAATTAAAGCACGTCCAAAGGAGCTCTGGTAGCGTAGTGGTTACGAATCGGGCTGCAAACCTTAAGGTCAGCGGTTCGAAACTACCAGCTGCTCCGCGGGAGAAAGATGAGGCTTTCTACTCCCGTAAAGATTTACACCCTCGGAAACCCTGTACAGGGTCGCTATGGGACGGAACCAACTCGATGGCACTTAACAACAACAACAACAATGAGAGCCAAAATATGACCTTGAACATATCCCACCTGAATTTAGAGATCATCTCAAGAACAGATTTACTATATTTGACTGAAGACCAGAAGAGTTGTGGGCTGAATCAGCCTGCCCATCACTTCAAAAAAAGCCCCTGACGGGGCAAGACCACATAGGCCTGGACAGACACCAGCAGCCAGAGCTCAGAGCCTCGGGAATGAGAATCAGGGTCATGGACACTAAACACAGCTAGGAACCCGAAGTATAAAGCAGCACTTACAAATCATAGCAACAGGGTTCTGGGAGTTCAAAGGCATGCTGTGCAGGAGGCAGGATAAACATAGTGACCAGGACTGGGGAAGGGAGTGACCAACTCTACCTTCCCTGAGTCGATACCCTACCACAGAGGATTGCTATCTCAAGTGAAGCGCCAGGAATGGTAGGTTTGATGCAGCTATAAGCCAGCAATGGAGTGGGGAGGGACCCTCGGTCCCCAAGTTGGGGAACTGACGAAAGTGTCTTTTGCTGACATAGAGCTCAAGTGCAGTGTACTTGAAAGGTTTGGTAGAAAAGTAGATATTCGCAAAATGTTTCTTAGACTCCTATCTGGTCACTGACATTTGTTACCTGGGAAACCAAGCAGGCACAAATAAAACAATAAAGGCCAAATATTAGAATGAAGGTTCCGTCAGTCCAAGATTATGTTAGAATGCTGTGATTATCTGAAAAATAAAGAGACTAATGGGAAATATTATGCTTCTTCTGAAAGTAGATTGAATGTAGAATTATCCTGAAAATAACAACAAAAGAGGCAAGGTATCCATGTGCTCAAAGTCCAGGCCTGAGTTGTCTGACAGGTGATTTGTCATGTGTGTGTGGTAAAGTCCTTAGTAACACTGCAATGAGCCACTATGCAGTTCCCCAAGCCAAGTGGGAGCTCTGCCTTTCTAGGGGCCACAGATTGGCCAATTTCAGCTCGAAGTTGAAGAAATTGGTGATGTCATCCAAGAAGGTGATGGATGATGGTCGAAGGTGCCCAGGTCCCAAGACACTGAAAGAATGACCAGACCACTGGGCCACACCACCAGGAAGTAGGAGAGAAGGAAGAGGTGGCAGGGGTCAGTTCAAGAAGGCCCTCAGAGATCGTAGCATGGAACATATCCCACCTGAATTTAAAGTTCATCTCAAGAATGGGTTTGATATGTTAGACAATAATGGCTGATTACTGCATTTTATCAGTGTTGTTGTTGTTGTTGTTGTTGTTGTTGTTAGGTCTCATCAAGTCAGTGCCAACTCATAGCAACCCTATGCACAGCAGAACGAAACTGCCCGATCCTGGGCCAACCTCACTACTCTTGCCACGCTTGAGTCCATTGATGCTGCCACTTTGCCAATCCATCTCATTGGGGGTCTTCCTCTTTTTCTCTGACCCTCCACCTTACCAAACATGATATCCTTCTCCAGTGCCTGGTACCTCCTGACAGTATGTCCAAAGTATGAGAGATAAAGTCTGGCCATCCTGGCCTCAAAGGAGCAATCTGGCTGCACTTCTTCCAACACAGATCTGTTGGTTCTTTTGACAGCCATGGCACTTTCAATATTCTCCTCCAACACCATAACTAAATGCATTTAATCAGTAAATGCCATTTAATTCTGAGTCATGGCTACCTCCTGTGTGCCTGTGTAGAACTGTGGTCCATAGAGTTGTCGATGGCTGAGTATTATGAAGTAGACTGCAATCCCTTTCTTTCAAAGCACCTCAGGGTAGACTTGAACAGCCAACCTTTTCTTTAGCAGTGCACAATGCGCACCCCCCAGAGGCCCCCAAAGCTTGACAGGGCTCTGCAAACGCACCCCGTCTGGCTTATATAACCAATAATCATCTGCTGCAAATTTCTGTCCTGTCTGAAATGTTAGCTCTCTCCAAGTATTAAGCTGGAATTGGCTCTGAAGAACTGAGTAAGGTACCGATAGGATAGGGTGAGGGAAGGGGTCTGGCACCATGGAGAACTGGGTTCCCCAAGACTTGGAAGATGGAAGGAAGACAGGGTTTCCAGAATGGCAGAGACTGGCACCCACGCCTCTCCCACCTGGTATTCCTGGAAGGTGCTGAGGTAGTAATGTTGAAAATAAAACCATCAAGAATTACAGACTTCTGGCTTACAAATTTTCAAGAGGGAGTTTAGTTTCAGAGTGTGGGGCAAGGTAGAATCCCCACTGACTACTTTTCTTCTTGTCTAGATGGGTCTGGTGAAAGGAGATGGGGATAAGATTCTTATGATTCAATAGTGAATAATTGTTATCATGACTTAATTGCAACTGTCACAATCATAAAGGTAGGAGTCTTGTAACAAAAATGGGGGAGTACTACTTAATCTTACAATCCAGGAACAGAGGACCCTAGGACCATCAAGGGAGAAGAGCACAAGTGGAATGTGAGACCCTATCCAGGGAAGCAGCAATACCAGAGATGGATGCAGAAATGAGGACATGGAGCGATAGAGCAGCTGAGGACTCTAGACTCATGGAAAGAGAAAGACTGTGTGCTGGTGGCGAGGAGGCAGTCTTGCAAAATGTACCCTTTGGTTATTTAAATGATTATATATTCCTGAGAGTTTTTGTGTTGCTATTGTTGTTGTTAGGTGCCATCGAGTTGGTACCGACCCATAGCGACCCTATGCACAGCATAATGAAACATTGCTCGATCCTGGGCCAACCTCACTACTGTTGCAACGCTTGAGCCCATCAATGCTGCCACTTGGCGAATCCATCTCATTGGGGGTCTTCTTCTTTTTTTCTGACCCTCCACCTTACCAAACAGGATATCCTTCTCCATCGAATGGTCCCTCCTGACAATATGTCCACGGTATGAGAGATGAAGTTTGACCATCTTGGCCTCCAAGAAGCACTCTGGCTGCACTTCTTCCAAAACGGATCTATTGGTTCTCTTGGCAGCCCATGGCATCCTCAACATTCTCCTCCAACACCATAACTCAAAAGCATCAATTCTTCTACGGTCTTCCTTATTCACTGTCCAGCTTTCACATGCATATGAGGTAACTGAAAATACCATGGCTTGGATCAGGCGCACCTTACTCCTCAAGCTGACATCTTTGCTCTTCAACACTTTAAAAAGGTCTTCTGCTGCAGGTTTGCCTAATGCAATACGTCGTTTGATTTCTTGACTTCTGCTTCCGTGAGTGTTGATAGTTGATCCAAGAAGAATGAAGTCCTTGCAATTTCCATCTTTTCTCTGTTCATAAGAATGTTGTTTACTGGTCCAGTGGTGAGGATTTTTGTTTTCTCGACATTGAGATGTAATCCATACCGAAGGTTGTGCTCTTTGGTCTTCATCAGTAAATGTTTTATGTCCTCTTCACTGTCAGTAAGCAAGGCTGTATTATCTGCATATCGCAGATGGTTAATGAGTCTTCCTCCAATCCTGATGTCACGTTTTCCTTCATAGAACCCAGCTTCTCGTATTATTTGTTCAGCATACAGGTTGAATAAGTATGGTGAAAGAATACAACCTGTTGCACACCTTTTTAAAATTTAAACCATTGAGTGTTCCCATGTTCTGTTAGAACAACTGCCTCTTGGGTCAGGTACAGATTCCTTATGAGCATAACTAAGTGTTCTGGAATATTCATACTTTGCTATGTTGTCCATAGCTTGTCATGATCCACACAATCGAAAGCCTTTGCGTAGTCAATAAAGCACAGGTAAACAGCTTTCTGATATTCTCTGCTTCCAGCCAAGATCCATCGGACATCAGCAATGATATGCCTCGTTCCACGGGCTCTTCTGAATCCGGCTTGAATCTCTGGAAGCTCTCTGTCAATGTATGATTATAGCTGTTTCTGTATTACCTTTAGCAAAACTTTACTCACATAGGATATCAAAGAGATGTCTGATGATTTCCACATTCCGTTGGGTCACCTCTCTTTGGAATGGGCACAAATATGGATCTCTTCCAATCAATTGTCCAGATAGTTGTCTTCCAAATTTACTGGCAGAGATGAGTGAGTGCCTCCTGTGCCGCCTCACTTTCTTGAGAGATTTCAATTTTGATTCCATCAATTTCTGGCGCCTTGTTCTTTGTCAATTCCTTCAATGCACCTTGGACTTCTTCCCTCAGTATCACTGGCTCTTAATCATATGCTACCTCTTGAAACGGCTGAACATTAACCATTTCCTTAGGGTACAGTGACTCTGTATATTCCTTCCATCTTCTCTTGATGCTTTCTGCATCATTCAATAATTTGCCCAGAGAATCCTTCAATAATGAAATTCGAGGCTTGAATGTTTTCTTCAGTTTTCCCAGCTTGAGAAATGCTGAGTGTGTTCTTCCTTTTTGGTTTTCTGATTCCAGATCTTTGCACATTTTGTTGTAATATTTGGCTTTATCTTCTCAAGCTGATCTTTGAAATGTTCTGTTCAGCTCTTGGACCTCCTCATTTCTTCCATTTGTTTTTGTGTACACCACCCCCCCCAAAAAAGAGGAAATAGAAGAAAATACTGTTGAATGATGATGCACGGAGGAGACTGTAATTACTGCAGTGAAATGATGAGTGTAAAACCGATGTTCTCCCATGTAAAGTATCACTCATTTCACAATAAAAACTTAAAAAAAAAGAATTACAGACTTGAGATAATGGCAGTGAGCACATATGCTCCCTGCAGCTCCTTAGCGCCGAAAGCTGGCAGAGACCAGCTTCCAATCACCATGTCTCCTAGAAACAGAGACAGAGGAAGATGTGCTATGGAGCACCAGCAGCTCAGTGCAGTGGGAATGTAGATAATGACCATTGTCATGGAAGAAGAACAGGAATAAAAACAAAATGGCAAATACATGTTATACTTACCGAAGGCTGTATGCAGTTATGTAAGGAATATCACAATTCATATTGTCTGGGTTCCTTGGCTCCATTACTAGGCCAAGAAATTATACCTTTCTTTAAAAATGTATTTCGCACAACATAAAACTTATCTCCATCCTTCCTTCCTATGCAATGGCCCCTGCCCAAGTCCTGATAATTCTAAGTAATTTTTTCATGGCTAGTCACAATATTTTTCCAAGAAAGGCAGTTCATTTTTCTTTTAATCTCTTTGTTGTAATTTTATTCCTCTTTATTTCTTCACTTGTCTTATGATTTTTTTAAAGAAAAGATTATACTAATAATACTTCAACAGCAGTGGTTTTGTCTCTGATTTTTAATATGGTAATTTTTATGTCTAAATTTTTCATTAATTATCTTTTCTTTTCAATCTGTCCAGAATCTATCTGAAAAAACCTCGCCAAGGCCCTTAGATCTACAGTTAAAATCAGTTTTGGTTGGTATCATCATAGAACAGCATTAAGCACTTACTTGAATTTGGTTGTATTAGTCAAAAACATCATACAAGTCTGAGAAACATATAACTGAAAAAAACGTGCGTTAATTGAGGACAATAATATGGAAACTGGACTCTTTTGCTCTCCTTTTCATCACTAACACTGGAGCCAAAAAGGAAACTACATGTCCGAGGGCCCCAAGTCCCAAATGCAAGATATATGGAAGAGAGCTAGAGTGGGCTTGATGCAGTAGTTACAAGACTAAGTAGAAGCAGCTCCCTCTCCTCAAGTGGGCTCAGACTGCACTCTGCACACTGGGTAAGGTCTGACGTCACGAGAGTCAATCTCAGCTCCTGAGCCAATCAGGATTCTTAGCACACAACTGTGCACCGTAAGAAACAACTCAAATTGGAAGCTAGTCTTCTGTCATTGTGACATTTGGAAATGAAGGTTGTATAACTGATTTGGCAAATAAATGGCAAACAAACATACAAAAGGGAACATTCAAAGACAGAATGTTCAAAAATGATTAAGTCTTTCAAATTTTTTCTTTCTTGTGGGTAACAACCTACTTGTACCAACCCCCTTTTCTATTTGGTATTTTCTGTGAAATACATTTAAATGGTTGGCAGGAGCAAAAAGGGGGATTTAATTCTATTTGGCAGGCAGGATAAGGTTACAAATCTGCCTCTTCCAAAGCTATTGTGAGAGCTACTTCTCCATGAATTTTTCATTCATTTGAAAATCTAATTGTAAAAATACGGCAGCAGCCATCCCTCCCACCTCACTCTCTACTCGGCTGGGTTCCAGAATGCATTGCAATGGCCACAGAACTCAGATGTCATACTCACAGTTCTATGGTTTGTTAGGGAAATTAGCAGGTCCAACTCATGGTCAGAAATGGTCAGAGCACAATTGTTCCAGTCAGGACAGTGTCTCCTCTGCTGTGCCCATCAGCAGGCCTCTCTCTGTCTAGGCAGTGTTGCAAAGTTCTTTCAGGGCTGCTGAAAAATACCCAAAGGGCACTCCACTCTGCTATAAGCCTCAACCCAGACACACTCAGCTTTAGCTCTGTGGCTCAGGAAACCCAGCTCCACCATTTAAATGCCTGGAGCCATCCCACTCAGCAAGTAAGCACCCTTCACAAAGTCACTCAGCGTTAGTCACTCCATGGACTGTGAGGCCCTTTGCTCTAGCTCATGTTCTGGCTCTTGGTTTTGCTGCTGCTGCTCCTTTGTCATGCTTCCTGTCACAGCTTTCTGTCCCTGGGTCAAGGAGGTCCAACAGGTAGGGATCTCAAAGGTCAACAGACACACTCCATAGCTGGCTCTTCTTTTATAGTAGTGAGATTCCCTGTCCTGTTTCTCATGGTTCATGTTATTCCCGCATTAGAGTTCCGGAGTTTTTAAGAATCACAGTTATCCCTGTTAACCATCACTCACAACAGAATCATAATCCATCAGCACCTGCCCCCACCTACTTTTACCCAGACTCATCAAGAAAAAGTCATTTTGTAGAAGTTTGCAAAGACTATGGCAGGAAGAGACATTAAATAATTCACTACAACTGTAGCTGGAAGAGACATTAAGTCATTGCACCACAGGAAGATAAAGTATTCTGGCTGTCAATGGGTTTAAATCATATCAACTTCTAGAAGAATTCATTCTTATTTGCCTCCAGCATGCTAAGGATTTTGCAGAACATGCTGAATAAAATACTAAAATCATCACCACCCTGACTCTGAGCATCACACCTCATTGGATGGACAATTTAAATTTCAGTCAGTGGTCATCTTAAATCTCAAATTCTAAACCAGAAAAAAATGGAGGAAAAACTGGAACTCATGGTACTCAAATTCATTTTCTAAAATAGCTTCTTTTTTTTTTTTTACTTTGTCTTCCTTTTTCCTTCCTTTTCTTTTCTTTCTTTCTTTTTGTGTGAATTGAGTGATAGTTTACATGGGAGAACATTAGTCTTACACTCATCATTTCACTACAATGATTATAATCTCCTCCGTGCATCATCATTCAAGAGTATTTGTTTCTATTCCCTCTGGGGTTTTATTTATTTATTTATTTATTTATTTATTGAAGGGAGATGTACACAAAAACACTCAAGAATATATAATCGTTTAAACCACCAAAGGGCACATTCTGTAAGTCTGCCTCCCGGCCGCCAGCACTCAGCGTTTCTCTTTCCATGAATCCAGAGTCCTTAGCTGCTCCCTCTCTCCATGTGCTCATCTCTGCCTCCATCTCTGGTGTCTTGCTTCTCTGGATAGGGTCCTGCATAACTTCTTTGATTTTTCAAATTGTTTTTGCCTCTCCAGTTTTCTCACCAGGTTCTTGTGGAAAGGAAGGCCAGCCAAACCCTGCATCACACATGATTTATTTTGCACTGCAAGGGATGAAAGTAAAAGGGGGCTACCAGCTGAGTGAATGTGGAGGATGGGAAAGCACAAGGGCCACAGACCTAGTCTTAGAGTCTAACTACAAAAAGTACAACAAGCAAAACTCCTTGGGCTTCTTCTCATCAGGGCCCTCCCGGAGGTCACCATTAAATCCACGACAACCGTTCCTCCATGAGTTTAGGGCAACATTTGGAGTCACAGGCTCTGGGATAAAACTTAGTATAAAATTGTAAAAAATTATCTGTTTACTAGTTTTACTTCAATTCAGTTACACTGTAAATTACAGTGAAATTACAGACTAGCAGCAGGTGCCCTGGTTGCTGAAAACTTAAGGTATGAAGGAAATTTTTTTAGCCTTGGCAAACAGAAAGACTGAACATCATCTAATCTTTATTCAGTGAATCAAGACCTTTCAAGACTTCTAGAAAGTCCATAAGAAACAGCATGCATTTCTCTAATTTTGTTAAATAAAATTTAACTTTGTTTTTCAGTTTTATTGCAACAATTTATCTGAATAGTGAGAACTATAAAGAAAAAATTGTTTAAATAGCACATAATTTCACCACCTTGAAAACCCATTGACATTTTAAAACAAAAATATAGGTTTAGCATGATTAAAGACATCAAATTATACCAAAAAAAATACATGAAAGGTTAGCCTCTTTCTCACCGGCATTCCAGGCCCATCTCTCTACAACTTTCATTTTAAGCAGTATGACTACTTCCATAAAGTACACATTTATATACACAGATATTCTTTGTTTGAAAAATGTACACAAAAGAAGCATATTAAGTTACTGGTCTTAACTGTGTTCTTTCTCATAATTGTCTTTTTTCATGTGCCATCTAGTAGGTTCCAACTCATACCAACCCTTAAAAGGAAATCTAAGATTGGCTGGTGCTTATCTTAAAGTTCAGTCCTTATCTTAAAGCAGCACACCAGGGCATAATAAATCTCAGTAATTGTTCACGTGAGAACAAAGAATTTTAACTCATTTTTTCCAATTTGTTGTTGGCAAGTGCTGTCGAGTCAATTCCAACTCATATCGACTCTGTATAGGGTTTCCAATGAGTGACTGGTGGGTTTGAACTGCTGACCCTGTGGTTCAAAACAATCTTGCAGTCTAATAATTATCCTGCAGTGCCACACATCTAAGCTCTTTAGGCTTTGCTGTCATGCCATCTATCCACCCATCCACCTATCTACCCACCCACCCACCCATCCATCCACCCACCCATCCACCCATCCATCCACCCATCCACTCATCCATCCACTCATCCATCCATCCATCCATCCATCCATCCAACCATCCATTTCTTCAACAGAAGAAATGCTTCATTATTCTAGATCATAGTCTAGGCTCTGGCAATACCGCAATGAATAAAACAGACTGTTGTTGTTTTTTTTAAGTTTTTATTGTTAATTAAGTGATAGTTTACATGGGAGAACATTAGCTTTACATTCATCCTATTGTATTTCATTTAATTACAATGATTACAATCCCCTCCATACATCATCAAACAACCAAAGTCTGCCCCCTGGCCATCAGCACACAGCCCCTCTCCTTCCCTGAGTTCAGAGTCCCCAGCCACTCCAACTCTCCACATCATCATCTCTGCCTCCATCTCGGGCATCACTACTTCTCTAGGTAGGGTCCTGCACTCCGCTCTTCTCCCTTGATGGTCCCAGGGGCCTTATATGGGAGCAGAAGGAATCCTCTTTCTCCCACGGAGTAGCTGGTGGATTCTAACTGCGGATCTTGCTGTTTTCAGTCCAACTTGTAACCCACTACAATATACCAGGGCTTCTTATATAACATACTGGTGGTGGTAGCTGTGTACCACTGAGTCAGTTCTCACTCACAGCAACCCAGAAAAGGTTTCTGAGACTATAATTCTTTATGAGTGTAAAATGCAGAAAGCCTCATTTTTCTTCCACTGAGCAAGTGGAAGATTTGAACTTCTGACCTTAGGGTTAACAGT